TTGTAAACAGTCAATGTGTAAATTATCTATGTTGTATTAAAGATGTGTATAGTTTTGGGTGTTGGTTTGTGTTTAATGATATAAGTTATTAATTATAGAATTTTTATTTTAAGGATTTGGCATATGAGTAAGCCTATGATAAATAACACCATTTCAGAGTTCTGCCAGTTTTTGAGTATAGAGATTAAAGTAGCCTACACCTTATTGTCTACAAATTGGCTAAATAACTTAGGTACGGTACCTTATAAAAGTTGACAGCCTTTTTACGTAGACTTAAATTGTAAGCTTACCTTTTCCCGCCCATGGGCAGGTTGATTGTTATAAGTTAACTCTTTAAAACTGGAATAGGATTGTTATGTAAATAGTGAGTATTTCCATTAGTTGACTACTAAAAACTACCTATTTAGTTGACTCTTTTAAAATCATCGGAACTTATGACTGTTATTAGTTTCTAAACAAGTTATTTGTTTATAAATAACTCCTGTACTTCCTTGTAATTGCTCGATTTCGAGCAACATGTACACTAGTATATATATATTTATCAACATAAACAAGTAAACTACAACAGTTTTCATTTTCATAAGCAAAATTAAAAGTGAGAAGAAGAACACACGTTAATTGTAAACAGTCAATGTGTAAATTATCTATGTTGTATTAAAGATGTGTATAGTTTTGGGTGTTGGTTTGTGTTTAATGATATAAGTTATTAATTATAGAATTTTTATTTTAAGGATTTGGCATATGAGTAAGCCTATGATAAATAACACCATTTCAGAGTTCTGCCAGTTTTTGAGTATAGAGATTAAAGTAGCCTACACCTTATTGTCTACAAATTGGCTAAATAACTTAGGTACGGTACCTTATAAAAGTTGACAGCCTTTTTACGTAGACTTAAATTGTAAGCTTACCTTTTCCCGCCCATGGGCAGGTTGATTGTTATAAGTTAACTCTTTAAAACTGGAATAGGATTGTTATGTAAATAGTGAGTATTTCCATTAGTTGACTACTAAAAACTACCTATTTAGTTGACTCTTTTAAAATCATCGGAACTTATGACTGTTATTAGTTTCTAAACAAGTTATTTGTTTATAAATAACTCCTGTACTTCCTTGTAATTGCTCGATTTCGAGCAACATGTACACTAGTATATATATATTTATCAACATAAACAAGTAAACTACAACAGTTTTCATTTTCTCCATAAGAATAACATGGGAATTTTAAATTTACACTTGTTTGAATTTTCTCCGTAACCAGAATTTTCTCCGTAACCATTAAGCATACAACAATGCTTCAATATACTGTACTAAATTTGTTTTTTTAAGCTATACCAAAGAGCATAGAATAAATATAGAGGCGACACTTGCCGTCTGGAGTGAAGCAGGCTTTTCATACCAAGATGGCGGCCGGCTCGGTCTGCATTATATTTTTACCGTGGAAACCACCAATCAATATTTACTTTTAAAACTCTCACCTCAGAACTTTGAAAGCCTGCGGGGCAGAGTCCTAGGTCAATATCAAAGGGGGGATAGTTCAATATGTATCCTCGGATACATATCGGATAATATGTATCTTTAGAGCGGTAGCTTCATCTAATTCATAAAGTAGCATAGAATAACAAAGTGGTAATGACACCGTGTTTTCAAAGTTCCGAGCCCGACTCTCTTACAAAGATGTCGGAAATCGGCTTCACTACTGGTATAGCTGTAGGTATAGGAGTGGCGACTCTATATTTATTCTATGCTCTGTGAGCTATACAAAATGGTTGGGAAAGAAATTCCAAAATTTTATGTTTTAGGGTCAAAAATGGGAAAACCCCATTTTTACCCCATAAACCCCCGTTCCCATGGTCCGATCATGCTGGTTCGCGAACTCGTTCAAATAAATGTAGGTTTACACATTTATAAATTTTTTTATCAAAATCGGATCATTTTTGTTTTGAGTTATCGTGCTAACGGACACATATATATATAAATTTGAACAGATGGTGTTTTTGGCCTCTGGGAACCTCAAAACAAAAAAGTAAATCGGCCCCGGGTCCAGGTCTTACCATGAGACCTACGGTGATAGCGTATTCCCTACATATAGGAAATTCGCTAAAACAGAAGGGAGGAAAATAATTTAGATAAAAAAACATAAAAACAGTTTAATAACATAATTTAAATACAGCTACATATAAGTATAGTTTACAATATTAAATAAATACTTCTATAAAAAAACATTAAACAACAGTAATAAAAATGTCCAAATTTAATGAACTTAGTATAAACCTAATAACATAAAAGGTCGTTGCTAAATGTCTAATTTTACATAGGCTACCTCATTCACTAACTTAAAGTTAATTTTGACATAAATAACACCCTAAGGCAAAATCTTAAATGTTAAATAATGGTAGTAATGTTCTGGGCACTGGACAACAGAAATTCAAAATTATTACCTAAAAAAAAAAAAAAAAATACTAATAGACAATATTATGCCTACTTGGAATCTGTAAAATGAAATCGCCATTATAAATTCCAGAAAGATTCTACTTGTTAGTGAACAGTTAATGAGTAAATCAGCTTTAAAGTTTACAAATCAAGGTTGAATATAATAATCTCTTTCTTGTGTGTAATGTTAGCCAGGCTTGCTTAAATAAATGGGCTCAGGGGCGCAAGAAGTTTAAGGTTGGTTGGAGATGCAAGGAAGAGACAAATTTCTCCACAGGTAGCCATTTCCTAACAGGTAGGTGAAGAGGAGCGCTATTATCTCTTGGGCCCATAGCGCATCACATGCAAACGCGGGCCTGATTATCAATACATATTTTTATCTAGCTTGCTGTAATGGTGTGTCCTTGCATAACTATATTATGTCTAGATTGTATAAAAATGCTATTTTACAGTTATTGTTTTTTAATTTTTTTCATGGAAGGACCCCCCACCTAACTGGGGGGGTATTCCATACCCCTCAGACCCCCGATAAGGGCTTGGGCCATCCCTGCTCCAGGGCGCTCCAAACCTGGCTTCGCCACTGGCATTAAAAAGTTATAGGTTTACCAACAGGTGCAGCACTATTATTTTTTTGCATTTATGACAACAGCTAATTTGAACCAACTAGCAACAAAAACCTTTGGTAAACAATGAGAATTTTCCTTTTTCTATGGTTTAGGTGCAGTGGTAGAACCATAGACTAACCAACACAAGTAGACTTCTCATCCCATTGTAAATTTTGAAGCACGTTTTTCATGTCTTGTTCATGTACGTGACATTTGGGCGCTAGTGTCGACGAAACTTTGTTTCTATTATTTTAGGGTTAATTTCTTGATTTGTGCTTTACTGTTTGGCTATATAACTAGGGGACAGGTTATTGTTTATGATTAATCGTATTATTTGGTTAAACGAGGTTTTAAATGGCTGTAATAACGGGAAACAAATCGTAAACAAAACACGACCTCTACAGAAAACCGTACAGAACTAACAATAAAATTGTCTTCAGCTGTTCCATAAGAATGAGAAATCTACTAAGGGACTATGTTTTATCTATGGTAGAACATTATGGCTATGGTAGATGTGCTATATAACATACCGTATAAATTAAGAGAACCAAATTTTCTTAAACCATGTCCTCTCCCATAACTGCAATAAACCCATTACGAAGGATGGGTACTCTGCTAGTATTACTATATTTGGAAAAAAATAAACAGACCTCAAAACTAAAAAAAAATGTACAGTATGCCTATGTTCTTTTATTATGACACCCTTTAGTTTTTGAAAATTATAAATATTGCTTACCACTGGGATGGTTAAATCATCGATCTATATTACTACAACTGGATCACGTGCTGTACTTTTCAGAAATACACTCATATCGGTTCAACGCTGAACGCTCCCCCCACCAACTAACGTACGGACCTCGCCGCTGCTGCCATACACTTCATGTGGGACAACAGTGTTTTCATTAATAAAAGCTATCATATCTTTGTTGATACTTGCTCGATTCAAATGCTGGGTTCACCGTTGCACTCGTCATAAAATTACAGATGTTTTGATATAGTTTTGCGTCATTAAAAATCTCATTCAGAAGTTTGGTGGTGGGGGGAGAGGCTATAGGCCGGACCGAAACACAGCACATATCGCGTGATCCAGTTGTAGGAATAGAGATCGATGGGTGAAAGTCGTCTAGTACTCTTAATAAAAAACTTTTCTAAATGACAATAAAGAGTATGCTATCTTTCTACCAAATACTACTGTTTTGCCAATACTGTAAATTTTTTAAAAGATTGGCCCTGTTTATTTATTGGAAGGTGTAATACAACAATTTGTTATTTGGCTCAAGAGACAAAGGGTGTTGAGCTGATGTTGGGTAGCACTGGCTCAACACAGTGTAGGTAAAGATTAGCGCATGGTGAGTGGAAGGCCATTGCTCCGAAGGTAACAGGTGCTGGGCCTGTGTTGCTGTGACACACTCCACATTGTACTCCCACAGTTTCAGGTAGCTGGAAACAATCATATGTTAAGATAGCACTGGTTCAACACAGTGTAGGTAAAGATTAGCGCATGGTGAGTGGAAGGTCATTGCTGCGAAGGTAACAGGTGCTGGGCCTGTGTTGCTGTAACACACTCCACATTGTGCTCCCACAGTTTCAGGTAGCTGGAAACAATCATATGTTAAGGTAGCACTGGTTCAACACAGTGTAGGTAGAGATTAGCGCATGGTGAGTGGAAGGTCATTGCTCCGAAGGTAACAGGTGCTGGGCCTGTGTTGCTGTGACACACTCCACATTGTGCTCCCACAGTTTCAGGTAGCTGGAAACAATCATATGTTAAGGTAGCACTGGTTCAACACAATGTAGGTAGAGATTAGCGCATGGTGAGTGGAAGGTCATTGCTCCGAAGGTAACAGGTGCTGGGCCTGTGTTGCTGTGACACACTCCACATTGTGCTCCCACAGTTTCAGGTAGCTGAAAACAATCATATGTTAAGATAGCACTGGTTCAACACAATGTAGGTAGAGATTAGCGCATGGTGAGTGGAAGGTCATTGCTCCGAAGGTAACAGGTGCTGGGCCTGTGTTGCTGTGACACACTCCACATTGTGCTCCCACAGTTTCAGGTAGCTGGAAACAATCATATGTTAAGGTAGCACTGGTTCAACACAGTGTAGGTAGAGATTAGCGCATGGTGAGTGGAAGGTCATTGCTCCGAAGGTAACAGGTGCTGGGCCTGTGTTGCTGTGACACACTCCACATTGTACTCCCACAGTTTCAGGTAGCTGGAATCAATCATATGTTAAGGTAGCAGTGGCGGCGGAACCAGGGGGTCAGGGGGGTCAGTTGACCCCCCTGAAATTTTAGGAAGAGTCAGGGGGGTCAAGGGTCAGGGGTTCATATACAAAATTTAAAGATATAAAGCATTGCGTCCTTTATACGTTTATTTTTTCGGCCCAAGAAGAAAAGTATAAGTAGGCCTAATAACAGTTACTGAAGATAAGTACAAAGACAAACGTTCCACGATGACGCAGAAGAGATTGAACCATCTTGCCATCTTATCCGCCCATAGGGACATTGCTAAATCTATTGATGATAAGCACATTGCAAGAATGTTTGTCAATAGAGTTGAAAGTCGCTGTGCAGTTTTCGGGAACTTCAAAGATTGGAGTTCAAGTTAGGGCCTACTGAAGTTTCATCAGCAGAAGTTTAAAAATCTAGTAAACTTGTAGTAGGCTAATATCTTGAGATTCTCGTGTGGGATTTTACTTATTTTAGCAATAATTCATCAAAAAGATTTTGTATTTCTTAGTAATTTTATGTTGTGCCAATACAATGTTTGTAATGTTTTTTGTGTAAACCATTATTTATACCCAGTGGACACATTTACTTGGTTATACCCTATCTTCTTACTTTTGTGATTAACTATAATCAAGCAGCCAATTTTAATTTAACTTATTATTAATTCAGTTTTGAGGGGGAGGGGCAGAGCCTGCCGAAATTACGCAAACACATAAATCCCTAGGGCCTAGAGCTTGTTTACTCTTCTCTGTCGTCTGCAGCAACTCATTGCTGACATCTTTAGTAAAATCTGGGCACCAGTACTTCATTTTATGTTTGTTTGAGATGTATGTGTATTATTTATTATAATGTTTTTACAATGAACATATTAGCGTCTTTGTTAAATTGTAAATTTTCTTTGTTACTGCTTGAAGAAAAATGTTCTTCAGGTAGCCTAAAAACACGTTTTAAGGCTTTTATTTTTCAAAATTTTCCCGGGGGAGGACCCCCGGGCCCCCCCTACCCCCCAGACCCCCCGGATGTGGACCTCCACCATAGGTTTCTGACCCCCTAACAAAAATTTGCTTCCGCCGCCCCTGTAAGGTAGCACTGGTTCAACACAGTGTAGGTAGAGATTAGCGCATGGTGAGTGGAAGGTCATTGCTCCGAAGGTAACAGGTGCTGGGCCTGTGTTGCTGTGACACACTCCACATTGTGCTCCCACAGTTTCAGGTAGCTGGAAACAATCATATGTTAAGGTAGCACTGGCTCAACACAGTGTAGGTAGAGATTAGCGCATGGTGAGTGGAAGGTCATTGCTCCGAAGGTAACAGGTGCTGGGCCTGTGTTGCTGTGACAAACAATTGCGGGCCCGTGTCCCAGTAAAATTTCCCGAAAAATCCCGGTCAAGACTCACGGGTCGCCGCTATCTGGACCCAAAAAAGTGGTTTTTGAAGTGATGTCTGTGTGTGTTGGTGTGTCTGTATGTGTGGATGTGTACAGATCTACAGACTACACCTGTGGTCCAATTCCCAAGTAGCAGATAAACGAGAAAAAATTGTTTTATATCAGTTTTAATAGTATATTTCATAACAAGAGTAGAAAGTGAGTCATTAGATATTTGAGATCATGTTTCAAGTGCGAGATTTATCGAGCACTTTTAATGGTCGAGAATATGTATAGACCCACTTTCACTCGTTTCTTGAACAGCTTTTAAAAAAAAGCTTCTTGAACAAAATAAAATTGTAAAATGTCAAAAAATGTATTATATTTGTCCTGAACTTGGGGAAAAAAACATCTAGCCAAGATTCATGTTTAATGAGTTGATTAAATAATAACAAATTTGATTCTGAAAAATTTCGGCATTCTTAAGAAAAGTGTACTTGTTTGATTTTTGAAGTTCAGCAGAGCAGGCAAATTCCAACATCTGACCATCATGATCAGAGAGAAGTGTGACAATACAAGTAACTGACATGAGATTTACGTGTGATTTCTTAACTAATATATTATCTATAGCTGATTTCGTTTCAAAACTCACTCTGGTTGGAAAATGAACTAGATATTTCATGGCATGATTTTTAGCATATTTTCTAACAATAATTTCTTTTTTCATATGGATTTGTGCTTGGTAAAACATTGATATTCAAATCTCCTACCCAAATAATGAATTTGTTGTCTGAATAATCTACAAGTGCACTTAACCTATCTAAAAATACATCCACAGAAGAGATGTATGACCTATACATTCCCATAACAACAAATTTATAATTTTGAATCTAATACACTGCGTCACAAAATTCAAATTGTTTTTCCTCCGACAAATCATCCAACAAGTGGTGAGGAAAAACCACCGGTTGACTCTTCGGCCCGCTGGACTCAAGATCTTCGTCGGTGGACTCAAGATCAAGACACCTCAATTTTTTAATTTTGTTCTGCAAAAGAAAGAATCAAAAGTAAAATTTTTAATGTTTAACCTATCTAGTTCACATTCTTTCATGTCAATTTCCGATAAAACAATAATATGAGGATGTATTTCCTCTAAAGTTATTTGCAAAAGATCGATGCCATTATTTAAGTTCCTAATGTTTTGGTGAAATAGTTTTAGTTTCCCTTTGTGTTTAACATAACTACTTATTAAATTCCTTATAACTACTTATCACGTTATCATTTGTGAGCTCTGGAGTAAGTAGAAAAAGGATCAGCCGGTGTGTCAGATTTTTTATTTGATTTGATTAGACTCAACTGCAATACTAGTGACCGCGCGAGTGTAATTATTTTTGTAAAAACAATATAGAATATAGTGTTGGTGATGAGTGATCAAGACCCCTGAAGATATCACACAAGGTGGAAAAATGCATAGTGTAACATTAACATCTTATATACAAGAACTCTGATAACAACATAATTTATTTTTGTAAAAAAATACAACCGACTTAAAATGCTCGTAAAAGAATGAAATAATTTCAATAAAGTAAACTTTTGTATTAGTCAAACTCACGTATTTTAAGTCGGCGCGGCTCTATGATGATTTTTGATACAAAGTTATAATCTTATAGTGGTATTAACGAGTATCTTTAAAAAGATTATAATGTATTTACATATTTCTAACTTGGAAAAGTAATGTTTTAACTTTAAACTAGCTTCTTTTCCCTATCATTATATCAAAATAAATTATTTTCCTATTCATATAGAACATTTGTGTGTGTTATTTTCATTATGCAATCATTCTGAAGTAAACATAAAATACAAGAAAATACTTCCTTTGATATATATAGGGGAAGGTCGGCTAAAATGGGGACTCTAGTGGTTTCCACATTATATTTCGCTTACAAATATTGCTAAACTTTTGAAATTTAGACAGAACAAGACTAAACTAATGTGTGAACAGAAACTGATAGCTTTTGATCAATTATTCCCTAGATATAACAATAAAATTATATATTTTTTAAATGCATACATTGTCCCCGTTTAAGACGACCTTTCTGGTAAAATGGGGACGCCATAAGAGCACATGCAAAATGTCGTAACCTAACCGTTACGTTAGAACACAAGAAAAGTGGACAGTAATTAAGAGAGAACCACTTACTATCGTTGGTGAACATAGAAGAAGGAGCCGTGACGAATCATCCCACTTCAGGGCCCAGTGCACAGTGCAGCCACCCCGCAAAACATAATAACTCTTCTGTTACTAATAAATGACTGTTCATATATATGAAACTATAATGACTTCTACTACACTCGTCTTCCCCATAAAAAAAAGTCAATACCATAAATTCAAAATTAACTCAAAATAAAATAAAATTCACTTTCAATATAATGCAACAAAAATTTCTTCTTCCCATTATTCATTAATTATTTTACAAGTCCAGCCTGTGAGGCTTTCGCACAGTCCGTGCAGACTTCCTCAGCGAGGGTGGTGGGCTGCACTGTGCTAGCGGCGACGCAGGAGTTGGCTGAGGCTGGGCTTGCCCTAGGCTCTCCCTGGGACTGGTAGTAGGCCTAGGTGCAGGTGACATCATCTGGGGACTAGTTGGTCGATCCTCTGGCGGGGGTGAATTCTTGGATACTTGGGGTGATACAACGGGATCCTTGGGTGATACAAAAATCTCCTCCTCTTCTGCATACCGAGCTCTCAAGTGGTCTGCATGACAAAATCGGGGTTTTCCACCAATGACACTCACAAGATAGGTGACCGGACTTCTCTGAAGAATTATTTTGCCAGGAACCCAAGATATCTTTTCATTTCGGACAGTTTTGACATAGACTGCCTGACCTTCTGAGAAAAATCTACTTCTTCCCCTAAGCCTATCAGCTGCATCTTTTTGTTCCCTGTGTTTTTGATCAATGGATGACTGGAGATTGGGTTTTAACATAACCAACTGAGTACGAGGCTTCCAAGACAGGAACATTTCTGCAGGGGTTAAGCCAGTAACTGTATTTGGAGTGTTGCGGTACGCAAACAAGAAATTATCTAATTTCATTTGAAGAGTGGTACGCTGAGAATGCTGATGTTCCTCAATCACTTGACGCAAAAGGTTTTTCTTGACCTCCTGAACACTTCTCTCTGCAGATCCATTTGAAGCCGCATGATACGGGGGAGTTAATGTGAACTTCACATTGTTGTTATGCAAAAAGGTTTTGAACTCTTGACTAGTAAAAGATCTTCCGTTGTCCGACACCAGTTCGACAGGCAATCCATACGATGAAAACAAGGTACGGAGTTTCTCAATAACCTTGGAAGAATTCATGGAACTCATGATAAATACCTCTAACCATTTAGAGTATGTGTCAATCAAAACTAAAAGTTGCTGTCTCGACTCTGGATCCTCCGCAAAGTCAATGTGTATCCTCTGCCATCGGGTTGATGTTGTAGGCCATTGCTGCAACGGTACTTTAGGTATCGAATTCCTAGTTAACTGACACGCAGAACAAGAGGCCACCACGTCTTCAATCGACTTCTCCATGCCTGGCCACCAGACATAACTTCTCGCCAGCATCTTCATGC